CTCTCCACCTGACAGATTAACTGTTGCTCTGTTGGTTTGTTACCTAGATGATCTGTCCAGTACTGAGACAGGTGTGATCAAGTCCTCCCCTATTATTGTAAATCACATGCTTCTTCTATTTCTCTGGAGTGTGCTTTGTGGAGAGAGAGGACCTCTTCATTTTTTTTTTTTTTTTAATCTCTGCTGGTGCCTTGCCTTGTGTCAATGCAGTTTAGTCTGGCGTGCCATCTGCATGGTGGCTGTGGCTGCTGCTATAGAGACCAGCTGCTTTTGCAGCAGCCATGGCAGTTGTGGTGGCTGTGGAGGGCTACCCATGTGAAAATGGTGTTTTTGGTGTGCTCTTTACCTGGTTGCAGCTGGGTTCAGCTTCCCCCCTGGCCTCATGTGCCATTCTTAGGTGTTGTTGAGGAGCAGTGGGGGGAAGAAGGAGAAGGGAAAGGAGAGAGAAGTAGGGTGGGAAAAGTGGAAAGCGGGGGCATGATCGAGGCCCACGGCCCCTGCCTCATTCCTGCAGGGGAGACCAGGGGGCTTCCAGTGGCAGCTGGGTCATCGCTGGGCTGGATGCAGATGTCACAGGGCATGTGGCTGAAGCCCTCAGCTCCCCACTACCCCAGCTCATGAGCCTGGGGTGCTTCCTATGGCAGCTCAGTGGTCATCATTGGGCTGGTTGTGGGTGTCAGGGGAGTGTGGTTGAGGCCCTCAGTCCTCCCCTATCCCTGGCTTGGAAGCCCCGGGGGCTTCTGGTCCTTCTAGGTTTTATAGGTGTTCTTTGGTGGTGGTAGACCTTTACTAGTTAATATCAAACTTTGATCTGTGGGTATTTTGTTTTTTCTTTCAGTTCTGTGTTGGATTATTTGCTGTTCCCACCACTTAAACTCTGCACTGGAATTAACTTGTTGTCCTTTGCTTACTTCTAAAATAGGGGAACTTCCTGTGGGGACCAGCACTTGAGCCCTGTGGTTGAGCTAAATTGCTGCTTTGCTGCTGATTCCCTGGGGAAGCCTTTTTGTGCAGCTCAGGTTTTAATTGTTGACCTTGTAAGCACTTGCGGGTCTTGTGAGGTCTGGTATACCTGGGTGTGTGGAAAATGGTCTGGGCTGAGTCTTTTCAGCAAACTACATCCCCTGCAGTTCTACATTCCTGACCAGTCTCCATTGAGTGGTCCTGTGCTGACTGGAGGGCAGGTCAGCTGTCCTTGCTGTGCCCCAGTGTTCCCCTGGTGGGCCCATCTCTCCCACCACCCAACCTCCAAACACTTCCCATGGGGTGGACCATGCACTGGTCCCTTGCAATGACTGACCAGCCTCTGAGTGGCTCCTTTTTTCAGTTGTCTGTGGCCCCTCACTCCTATGTGGGTCCATGGGAACCCTATTAGTGGTCTTGCTGGCTTGGGGACCACCAAGGCCGTCTTCTCCCCTGCCACCTCTAGGCAACTTTATCTGAAGGGCGGGCACAGCTGCAGCTTTTTCCAGCCTGCTTGTCAGGGCCAGTCTGGAAGTGGATGGGGCTTGAAATGGTGGGAGCGACCTTTCTGTCTCTCATCGTGGTTTCTTCTGCCTTCATGAGCTCCGTAGGTCTGTTCTCCTCTTCCCTTGAGCTCTAGTGGCCCCAGCTTGGCTGATGTTGCTTTTTAATAGCTATACATTGATTGATTTGTAGGAGAGAGTGACTCCGGAGACCATCCATTCTGCATCTTGACCGGAAGCCCTCATTTGTAGTTTTAATTAAAGCTGTCTCGTGGTTTTATTGAAAATGGTTATTTCTTTTCTATTTCCAAATATTTTTGATGTTTTTAGTTGATGTGATGAAGGGAAGGACAGTAGGAATATCACTACTCTACACCACCTTCAACAAGGCAGCAAATTAAGTGGATTAAGCCATAAGATAAAGTGCTCACTAGATACCTATGACTGTTCTCTCAACGGCTTGAATAGAAGAGAACTCAGAATTATAGCACAGTCTTGGGAAGGTTAAGTGAAAACCCTTATAACAATTTATACATATGTTTGAAGCAGATGGTGACCCTGGTTCTCATTGCACTGAAAGTGTGGTTGAAGTATTGATTGCTGGGACCTCCATGGTAGGGAGGCTGTGGGATTGAAATTGTGGTTTAGGGATGGGAACATTTGAGTAGGTGTCAAGAATATCCTGAGCACAGAACACAGAACCTCTGGTTCTTAGTTCTTCACCAATATGTCTTCACTGAGAAAAGCCAGGCCTCTTGGGGGCCTCCGGGGAGGACAGTTGAAATTAAGAGTGATTAGGAGAGAGAGCGCTGAATCCTGAGTAGAATGGTGGTTATAGAGGGTGGTGGGTGGAGGGAGTGGGGAGATGATGGTTAAAGTCCCAGTTAGGATGAATAACTTGTTTTGGTTTTTTTCTTTTGAGATTTTTTGTACAGCATGGTGAATATAGTGAATTCTTTGCAAAATTGCTAAGAGAGTGCATTTCAAAGGTTTGTAAATGTTTATACAAAATAAGTGCTTGAGTTGATGGATATGTTAATTATCTTGTTTTAATTATCCCACATTGTATTCATAAATCATAACATCACTTTGTACCCATAAATATATACAATTATCCATTGTTAGTTTACAATTAAATTAAAGCTTTCTTTAATTATAAAAAGGAAGAGTAAGGGCCGGCCCGGTGGCGCACTGGATAGTGCGCCGCTTGGGAGCGCGGCGGCACTCCCGCCGAGGGTTCGGATCCCACATACAGACCGGTTCCCGCTCACTGGCTGAGCGAGGGGCGGGCGCAACACCGAGGGTTGCGATCCCGTTGCCGGTCACGGGCCGGTACGGGCGCAACACCGAGGGTTGCGATCCCGTTGCCGGTCACGGGCCGGTACGGGCGCAACACCGAGGGTTGCGATCCCGTTGCCGGTCACGGGCCGGTACGGGCGCAACACCGAGGGTTGCGATCCCGTTGCCGGTCACGGGCCGGTACGGGCGCAACACCGAGGGTTGCGATCCCGTTGCCGGTCACGGGCCGGTACGGGCGCAACACCGAGGGTTGCGATCCCGTTGCCGGTCACGGGCCGGTACGGGCGCAACACCGAGGGTTGCGATCCCGTTGCCGGTCACGGGCCGGTACGGGCGCAACACCGAGGGTTGCGATCCCGTTGCCGGTCACGGGCCGGTACGGGCGCAACACCGAGGGTTGCGATCCCGTTGCCGGTCACGGGCCGGTACGGGCGCAACACCGAGGGTTGCGATCCCGTTGCCGGTCACGGGCCGGTACGGGCGCAACACCGAGGGTTGCGATCCGTTGCCGGACACGGAAAAAGACAAAAAGGAAAAAAAAAAAAAGGAAGATTAAGAGTGTGAACAAACTTTTGAAAATCAGCACGCTTAGGAGTTTTTTGAACTAGGAATGGGATCATAAAAGCTGTTATAAAGGAAAGCTTTATTTAGCAATGGAATTGAGGCAGAATTGGATCCCACTGGGACTTTGTGAATCCGTCTTTGTACCGAGAGTCATGCTGGGTACAGTTGTGCACGGAGCAGCACAGGGAACATTCCCATCTCGAAAAACATAGTCTGGTGGAGACAAGAAACTGATTTTGAAAAATCTGACCCAGCAAAATTTCAGTACCGGGATTAATCTCAACTCAGATGACCACAGTGGGGCCGTTCTGTGTTTTCAGTTAGGTTCTACCATAGTAATGGGTTGAGTCTGTCATGATTTTACACTGCTGGGTTCTGTGATTTGTAGGGGGTACTCTGAAGCCTGTCAAAATCCTGGGATTCCTGTTGTATCATACACATTTAGCTGAATTTTAAGCAGCAGTGTTTTGTAGTCCATATTTCCACATCTGCTCCTTTCTAAGGCGAGTATCTGTCTGTCCTCCGGGCCCCTCGTCCGTTCCATCCTCGCTGTCTCCATGTCTTCTCTTAGCCGTGCCTGTGACCTTCCCATCTCTAAAATTGTTTTATTCTCTTGTCATGTGACGTTAGTTATATTCTTGGCACTTTGCTCTGTAGTTGGTTTTTTGTCAGTCTTCCCTAATCAATTAGAACTATAGGCTTCTTCTTTTTTTTTTTTCCTTTTTGTCTTTTTTCGTGTCCGGCAATGGACCGCAACCCTCAGTGTTGCCCCCGTACCAGACCGGGACCGGCAACGGGATCGCAACCCTCGGTGTTGC